TGGTTCATGGGGTCACGAAGAGTCGGACATGACTTAACGACTGAACAACAACAACAACAAGCAGATCCCAGCAGACAATGGAACAGGAATAGGATTCCATGAAGGACTTTAAAAAAGAATATGATAATTTCAATTGGTATAGAAACTAAGTGGAATCTATTGCAATAGCTGTTAAATGACTATTAAAAAAGTTAAAACTGCTCTTACTTTCCTGACAAAAGACAGATACTTTTTGTATGAACTGAAGCTTCCAAACTTTTAATAACTCCTGATCTAAAATAATTCAACTTTCTCTTCAGTGTGATCATATTGAATACAACGTCATGAGAGCACTATATACACTATGTAACTGAAAATGTTCCTTATTACCACCTTTATTCTTACTGTATTAAAGCTACTTATGTAGGGTAGCACTTCCATATTTAAAAGTGCACTGATCCTAAAAATCCTATTATGATTGTAGATTGTTTCCATTCTACAGATTATTCTTAAATATTAGTGCCATCTAGTGTGCTAAAACTATAATAGCTTAGTAACATAAAATACAATGTAAAGCATATACATCCATCATATATAGAATCCATGTTAACATTATATAAACCACCTCAGGAACCACATTGCTAGATACCAATATACTCCAAACTTTCCCCAATATATTATCACATAAAATAAGATACTCTGGATTTTTTAAAAATATAAACCTTAAAAATATTCATGGTGGCCATAAAAATTCATAATATTTTTGTGAAGTAAATTAAAGTAGATCTCTTAAGCCATTTCCTATCCTCACTCCTCATAAGGTGTGATGGTACATGGGAATGACCTTGGGAGACAGGAGGAAGACTGCAGGTCTTCCTCCTGTCTCCCAAGGTCATTCTCATGTACCATCGGATAAGGTGAGAAACTAATTTTTCTGAAAAAACTGTCCCCATCCCCCTGCAATCAGACATAATAAATGTGAAACATGCTTCTTTATTTCTCCTTTGCACTGATAACAGGCTCTAACCATCTCACGTGACAAGCTAAGGAAGCTTGTATTGGCTTTAGGTCTCATGATGAAAAAGTTGCAATATTTACAATACCTAAATCTTGAGTATTGAGTATCCACTGGCAGGTTAGTAAGATTTTATTATTTATTTTCCAAGTACCTATTCTGCTTCTCCTGTATCTTTTATTACATTCTTTTCACAAGTTTCAGTTTGGAGTTGAAATTTTAAAGCAAATAACTAACAAACTACAGTGGTATCTCGGGATACGAACTTAATGTGTTCCGTGACTCTGGGCGTATCCCGAGTTGGTCGTAACCCGAAAAGTTCGTTAGTAGAGGCGTTCGTATCCCAAGGTACCACTATAAAGAGATTTCTCTCTCTCTCTCTCTC